GCACAATTTCTTGGTGGTGTTGGAGATTGATGTGAGAGAGCAACATGGCACTGGCACTGCCTCTGCCTTTGAAACACCAGGCTGTGCAGAGTGCTGTAAAAATCACATCATGACAACACCAAGAGGGACTGGGTCTCTGCCTTTCAAAGGATGAATCTTTGCCAGGAATTTAGCAAGTCTGACCAGTCTTACCCACCCCTTCAAAAGCAAGCAGGCAAGCCTTTGTGAAGAGGAAAAGGAGACTGTTAGTACTTTTTGGGCTGGGCACAGGCCACAAATGCAGAACACAAAGAGCTCCAGCTGGGAGTCAGTACCGCCAGGACATTCCCCCCCTCTGTAATGCAGAGTTGAAGCACTGATGACTCAACTTAATTTTCCACTGAGAAGGCCCTCTTGGAAAGAAATTCAGCCTGTTGGGAAGAAGTGCAAGATTTGTCAGGCACAAAAGAACCACCTGAGAAGCAAGTGGTTCCCAAGTGCTGCAGAACCATCCTTGAACCCTCCTGTTTCTGCTCCACCTGCTAAGTCACCATGTCAGGGCACTGAAGCTGTGGATCACTCCACATGCCCTCAAATCTTAAAGATAACAGAAAAACAATTATGAGACTTCCCCTCCATTCCTCCTCTTGTCTCTGCCCACTCTTCACTTCTCCTTATTTCCTCATGAGATCTGGTGCTCTTTCCTCTCACTCCAACATCTGCACTTTCTTTCACGTTGTGATGGATCTCCCCTGGACTCACCCTCCCCTCCTTTTATACATACTTTCCACAGCTCCCCAGTTCTGTGAAGTCAATGAATACAACTATTTGTTGCCATTACTTTAAAACAGCAAAGTAGAAGAAACTATTTCTACAATACTTTCTCCTGGGCCTACCTTTCTTGCCAGTCTTTATAAACAAAAAGTTCTGCAGAAAGTTCTGTGATCCCTGGACACTGCTTTAATGGAGTTCACAATGCCATAATGCAGAAGTTGCTTAAATTGTTAGATGAGGATCATTCAGAAGAAACCCAGAAAAACAAAAATAGTCAGTTTTCCTGTTTGTTGCACTGGATGATGCAGAGAAAGAGGGGTCCACTCAGTCCAATGACAACTTCTAACTTCTGTACAGAATACGATGCAGTGGTATCGTGTCAACTTTTACCAGAACTCCAGCATGAGAGATGCTATTATTGTAAGACAAGTAGAGATACCTTTGTACTACAGTGACTAAAACCATCATTTAAAATAATTTCTAGTTTTCTACTTCAATATTTCTACTTCTGAAGTAAGGCTACTTATTTCCTGCAAGAACTTACAACTGATTCACAAGACATTCTTAAACCACACACAGTTACCTTTCCAAATTTGTGGTCACATCCCCATTTAACCATTGTGATCATCAGGACTACAATTTATATGGTATTCAAGTGAATAAGATTGCACTGTATAGACGTTCTCCCCCCTTTTCACTTTTCCTTAACATTTAAGGTGCTATTTTTTGCAATCTAACATACTTCAGTTTTTTCTCCTACTACCCTTTTCTTCCTTACTCTCAATGCCATTTATTTTCTCTCCAGTCTTCCCTCTCTGCTTCTTCCTTGCTCATTTTACATTATTTCCCAGTTTAACCAGCTCAACTTCAATTAGCTGTGCTCTCCACCCTTCTTTCCCTGTGATATCTGTTTCTACCCACCAGTACCAAGTAAATTTCTTCACATCTGTCCTAGTTCTTTCCCCCCAGTTCTTGGGGTGGGAGCTTTAAAGGTAATGCTGCACATGCTGTTCTTTGTGTCTCTTCAGACTTTGCCAGGCCATTTACTCACCGGGCATAAAACTTTTACTGGACACTCATGCTCACACAAGCATCTCTTCTTCCAGGGATCCAAGGGGGCTGGAGGTGCAGATGTGCATCAGTCTGCTGTCTCCTCTTTCCATGGGAGGAGGAACTTTGCCAGTTTTAGAAGCCAGAGCAAGGTCCACATGGATGTGTGAGAAAGTGATTAGGGTGTGGGCAGACATAGCTCTAAGTAAGGTAGCACATGCCGTGGTACAGGTGCTGGAGGCAGCAAGGAGACATCAGTGCAGCCTAGCACTCAGAGTGAATATTAATCCTGGAGTCCCTGGGGGCAGCTGGTCCAGTTTTCAGCTGCAGTCTGACATAAATTGCTGTCAACACCACAGCAACTTAGGTAAAATCTAGTACCTGGGCCACAACTGAGCCTTCAGTCTCTTCTGTAAATGTACTTTGGAAGACTTTGGTGACAGAACAGTCTTTGTGCATTAAACCTGGAATGTGCCTGTGCATGCCAGGGGCAGACCTAGCAGGATTATGGTAGCTGGCTAACTGTGTCTGCAACTACTACTGCCAGACTTATAAATGGGACAGAAATGTAAAGAAGTTAAAGGGGGCTTTTTGGTGTTTTTTGTTGTTTTTTTTTTTCTTTTTACCTTCAGTCAGCTGGAACCTGAACTGGGATACACCCTGTCTGGTTTCACTTGCCTGTTTCTAGTGTTACTATTGACCAAAAATACAAGTATGAACCCTGCTAAAGTGTTCTCAGCTAAGTCTGCTGGGATGCTGCCCTTACAAAAGTGACACAGATTGTAGAGTCTTCTGCTCTGAATCACTCAGGAGTGCAGCCAGTGAGCAGGAAGGAGACCTACTGCTCTGAACAGAGGAAGAGCAGGAGGTGCCTGTCACCTGAGTGTAAAACCAAAGCAAAAGGTCATTAGTCAACTGATGTACTTGATTAATCAGGTAATTTATGAAAGGTGTGAACTAGCTTCCCCCCTCAGTGGAGTGTTTCAGCAAATAATAGTCAAGGAAAATGCCACATCTGAAAAATAGTTATTGTAGGATACTGGATAAACGGGGTAGGAAAATTCTGTTTGGAGAAAGTAACAAAAAAAAAAGGCTCATAGCTGCACATGTAAGGCCCCAGGGATGGGGGGTCCTCTATCACAGCTTCAGGACTTACACTGTCAGCCCAACTCACCAATTTTTTGAGCAGAACAAGAAAAAAGGCAAGCCAATGAATGGACTGTCAAGGAAAGCTAGAAATGACAAGCTTATCTGGCCACACAAAGGACAATTTTTAAGGCTGTGGCTCATGCACTGTTTTATGCAGCTCAGATCTAACAGGAGAGTGAATGATGTATGTAAATAAGTAAAGAAAGGAAACTTACCCCTAACTCCCTCTAATCTCAAATCCTAGGTTTTCAAATAAATGTTTGCGCCTTATTTCTGGTATACAGAATTCTGAAACCCTCAGAATTTGATATCTTTTATTTCTCCTGTGTGATTTTAAAACTGAGAGGGTGGTGCTCATTTGTGGTACCCCTCCTCTCTGAGACTGTACATCCATAAAGCAAGCATTTAGTGGGATGAGGTAATTTTGCACAAGCAGTAGCCGATGTTGCTAACTTGATAAAACTGCACCTGCTTGTCGAGAAAAGGCTTCAGAAACAGGAGGCAGAAATGGCACAACCGGGATGACATCCCGCAACTAAGTAACAGCGACATAATACAAATTCTCCGTGGCATCGCAGACTGCGAGGCTGCAAGAAGGGAATTTAAACCGAGAAACTGGGCAGCTGCATGCAAGAAAGTGTTCGCAATTTGAGAGTATGGTTCCATTTGAAGTGCAGTATGCTCCTAATCTCCGTTTGTTGGTTTGGTTTTTTTTTTTAATATACTATGGATTTTCAATGACATTGAAAAACTTTTGATCATGCAGTGTAATAACAGAAAAATTAACAGCACGATGGTCAGCTGCATACGCAGAGGCCCCATCATCCAAGCACGCAGGGAGGGAACTGATGCGAAATCCTTCATGGAATAACAGCAAATCACAGGCAGGCATCTTCTTCCTTGTACATACAGCGACCTGCTGCCTCGGAAAAAGCCGTGCTGGTCCACTGCCTCATCAGAAGAAGAAATACTCGTTGTAAATGCCTTTTTCCAGAAGCCTTTGGCTCGTTTTATAACCAAGTGTTTCCAGAGTGGGAGCGCTCGGTGCCTCCCTCCAGCGCGGCCCCCGCGGCCGTACCTCGCTGATTCCTCCGCGCCGCGGGGGGCGCTGTGCGCCCGGCCCCGCTCGCCTCACATAGCACCACCGGCGCATCCCCCGGCCCGACACGCGGTCAGGAAGTCGAGCTGCCCCGCTCCTCCTCCTCTTCTTCCTCCTTCTCATCTTCTTCCTCCTTCTCCTCCTCCTCCGCCTCCGGCCACGCCCCGCGCCGCCCGCTCTCAGCCAATCACTGCGCCCGCTTTGGGCCCCGGCACGCCTCCTGCCCCGCTAGGGCAGCGCCGCGGCTCCTGATTGGCTGCCGGGCCGAGCCGCGCGGCGGGAGCGGTGCCGAGCGCGGGGCGCGCTCCCGGGCCGCTCGGCGGGAGCGCGCCTGCGGGGAGGCTGCACCTGCGGCCGCCGCGGGGCGGGGCGGGAGCTCGGGCGGGCGGGAGCGCGGAAATGCCGCGGCGGCGGCGGCCGGGGCAGCGCAGGTAACGCCGAGTGCCGGCAGGCATCCTCCCCTCCGTGCCCGCCCCTAGCGCCAGGAGCCTCGCCCCGGCGGCCGCGCCTCCGCCCCGGGATAGCTCCGCACCTGGGACGTGCCCGCCGCCGGGAGGATGGCACAGCCCGCGGCGGAGGAGGCGTGTGGCTGCGCCGCCGCCGCACCGGGAGACGACGGCGAGGAGATGAACGGCAGGAAGGTGGCTCTGATCACCGGCATCACCGGGCAGGTAACGGCGGGGGCTCCCCTCGTTCACGTGCCCTCCCGGCGGCGGAGGAGAGGGGCAGGGGATGGGGAAGACCCGCCCCGAGGCTCCCGCAGGCAGCCGTGACTGCGGCCGGGCGTGGGAGAGCGGCGGCGGAGGGCTCGGCGTGAGTCTGCCCGGAGCCTTCGCTCCCGGGCCCCGGGACACATCCCCGCCCGTGCCTTCCCAGCCCGGTGCCCGCTTCCCTTCCCCGTTAGTGCCGCCAGTTCCGCGGCGGGCTGGAGCTCCGTGTGACAGCCGCCGGCTGGGTCAGAGGCGGACAGACCTCCTCGTGGGTAGGGCTTGTCTGCCCCGGGGTCTGGAGTGCTCGTCTGGTGTGAACGAGATGCGGTGCAGCGCTTTTATGTCTCGTGTCTGGACTGTCTTATAGTACCAGGAATTCCTGAGAAATCAGCTAAACCTGTACAGAGATGAGGTGTGAAGTGAGCATCGCTGGGAAAGGAGCCGCACGTAGGAAAGACAGTACAAGGAGCCAGTGTTGGGACCCTTCATCCTGACGGTCTGCAGTGGGGAAGGTACCGGTGCAGGTGTGAGGCAGCCAGCCTTGGTTGTGACCTGAGCAGGCTTGTCACTCGGAAGGGGTGTTTGTCACTTGTCACTGTGACACACTGGACAGCCATGCATTTACAGTCAGTACTGCTTTATGCTGAAACATGAATGGATGGCAAAAGCGTTTCCCCAGGCCACTTGGTTTGTATTCGTGTATGTTCATTGCAGTCTCCAATTTTTTTGGCTATATTACTCATAGGGATAATGATGCTCTCAGAGTCCTGGTGCTTTGAGCAGAAGGTGCAGGAGAAAGATGGCATGGAAAGAGAAAGAAATCACAGTTTCCCTTGGAGCAACTTCTGCATGATGAAAAAGATATGATGGTGGTGAGTTTTAACTTGGTGAGGTGTGCAGAAGGGTTGATACATGCAGTTTGTGGCTTGTGCTGCTACACTTCCAATAGGCAGCTGGGATAGTTGGTTGGACTGTTTGTGCACACAGAGATCTGCATTGCTCGGTCTTTGCTGGCAAGTGGGTGCTAAATGAAAAGTTGTCCTGGACGTGCTTACTCATATTTGAGGAACATCTTATTTGCCATGTAGATACCTCCCACTACCTGGAAAAATTTGCTCTCCTTGCACATTGCTTATCTCCAGGAACATACTGGTACTGAAAGAGTTTGCTTGTAGGGTGTATCTCCTATGATTGGTATAACTTGTTAAATAAGTAATATATAGTAGCCATTAAAGCTCAGTTTGGAATCCCAGTGGAACAGCATTTTTTCTTTATGGCTTGCATTTAGTCAGTGATGGCTTCATACATGGAAGAACTTCTTCCCCTTCAACTGTGACTTGTCCTGGTATGCTTACAGATCCACTGTGAGGTGCTGGTGTGGATTGTTGAGAAGTCCATGAGCACTGTGAAAAAGTACATGTGAATAAGTACATGTACATGAAAAAGCTCTGTGAACAAGAACATCAAAAACATGTTGCTCTTTTACTCTGCGACAGTCAATGCTGTCTCTCATTTTATAGTGGAAGAACCAGTGGGTTCTTTGTGAGGGAGTAAATCCAGAGACTAGCTTTTCATCTGCTGTCTGAGAGAACCTGCACTATGCTTTGAACATTCACCTGCTGCTTGTGTTTCATCTCATTATGCCTGGTCTTATGTGTTCTTGCCACACTTTTTGGTCCACGCTCTTCCCACGGGTTAGCAGCTGTCTCCCAATAGCAGGCTGGGGAGAACCCTTCCAATGGCTGCCTGACAAGGAGATGTAAGAGGAAAAACTAATGATCTCTGTGTACTAACACTTTTGCTTGATGTTTATTTCTAGCAAGAGCACAGTCAGAGCTTTCCCAAGGACTCCTTTGGTGCTGTGTGAAAAGTCTTCCAGGTTGTTGGCAGAAGTACGTTTCTCTTCATCAAAGATAGTAAGTTAGAGGCCTGTAGCTACAACACCATGATTCTTTCAGTACTGTTTTCTATATTACCTTGTCTGTTTTCAAAGCAGCTCTTCCTTCTTAGCTTGACTTTTGACAGGAATTCCAGTTTATCATTGGAACATGTGGAGAGCCAGAGCTAGGAAAGGCCTTTTTTTGGGTCCTGTAGTTCTCCATAATTTTGAGATCTGCTGCCAGGATTCCTGGTCCATCTATTTTTAGATGAATTTTAAAGGAAGCCACCATACTACCTGTTCTTTACCCCTCTTTGAAGAGACCTCACCAAGAAATGGGTGACTTGGATTTTGTTTCCTGTGTGAGAAAGGCAGATCTGCATCTCCCTGTCCCTGAAGAAACAGTGCAATATGTTTTTAAACTTAGTTACCATGAGTAAATTGTACAAATCTGCTGAAGTGGAAGCTAGAGCTCAGGTTTTGTCTTTCCCAGGCAAGTATTTTAACTACTGTGCTTAAGAGTGTTGGTCTGTTTCATTTAACTGATGCTCTTTCAAGGTGGAAGCTAAAGGCTTGGATCTCTTCAGAGTGAAGGTGGTGTGGAACAGAACTCCCCTTATTTGAGCTGTGCCCTTTCTGCTATAGCAAAAAGCGAGCTGGCACAGTTGTATTGTAGAAGGAACCTGCTTTTGTTTGTGTGTGGCCACTGTACTCTGAGAGTGTTTGCTGAAGTAATGCCCTGCAGGGCCTGGCACATAAGGATAGGTGAAAGATAAGTAATGAGCTGGATATGGACCATGACAATTTTGGGCAGTTGTGGAGCAGGGCTTTATTGTTAGAGTACTCTTGGGCCAAGTGAACAGTGCTTGAACTGTAGCAGCTCTTACTGAGCTGAGATGATGCCACAGCAAGCATGCTTAATCATTGTGCTGAAATTAGACAACTCACTATTTTTCAGCACTTTTGTGTAACCATGAACATGTGGACTGTTCATCTTTTCCACTGACAAAAGCTGAGGTTTTCTTTCTAGGATGGAGAAGGAGTTGAGCTCAGATAGAGTTATACTTGATAATGGTGCAATCGACTGATGATGCAGCTTTTAACTGAAACATAACATAGAGATAAAGCACAACTGAAACTTCTCATTAAGGGACTTTTAATGGGATTCATGAGACTTTACAGCATGCCAGAGAAAGATGGGCTGTCTGCCCAAGTTCTGTGTAGTGAGAAACTGGAGGCACATGCCATTTGCCAGCTTAACTGCACCAGTTAATGAAGGCAGTTCTGGTGACTTGCTTCTCTTCATTTAGAGGACAGGTCTGCAAGGGTGAATATGTTACTGATAGGAAGGTGAGTTTGACCTTTGGCCAAATAACAGGAGTAGTTTGCTGTATGCACAGTGAAGCCACAAAGGAAAGCAAATTTCATAACTGTATGATTAGGACTTAAATGGCATTCTGAATCCACGGGATGAACCTTAGTTTCTATTAAATCAAAGCATATCAACCTCTATAAATTCTGCATTTGCCCTTAGAGTGACTGTGAAATCAGTATCATTCTACCACTTGCATTGCTGATAAGAGACTCCAAGCATGTAGACAGTGGTGTTAAATATTCCTTTTGCAGTATTGAGATTTCTCTTATCTTTCTCACACCACAGCAGTGGGATGAACCACATTTCACTGTTTTGCCAAAGTGACTTATAGAGTGAGGCAGTTACTGTGGTTAGATGGGTGAAACATTTCTGGAGTGTCACATAGGTATTGGTCTGCTAAGAGACTGCTTGTGAGAAATGCATAGCACTTTTTTCTTCATTTAAAGATAAATATTTTAAATTAAACAGGCCTGGTGCATGTGTTTAAATAAAAATACTTTTTTTAGAAAAACCAAACAACTTGAATGTGACTCTTACTGTAAGAGTGCTTTCACAATGCAAAATAAATGTGCTGGACTTTTCAAGCCTTGGTGAGTTTAAAAATTATTCTGTAAAAATGGGAATTTTGAATCAAATGCTAGTATTACTAACAATGTAATTCTAGATATGCAAACATGTCTTGTCACTTAATCTTGGAAGCTACTAAACCAGCACATTTTTAAAGCATTGTTTTCTCGACCCTGTGACTAAATATCTGTTAAAATTGCATTTAAATATCTATTCAGAATGCCTGATTGCACTGCAATCAGTCTGATTGTCTTTCTTATACTGATACTTGTAGAAATATTTAGACATTTAGCTTCTTGGAGAAGTACCAAGAAATAATCTGTCTGAGCCTAACTATGAGGTTATATGTTGATGTTTCTACTTTTCCCACTTGGCCCCTGGATTATGAGCAGTAAATAATACCCATCTGCATGTGTGCTTTTCTAGGAGAGACAGCAAGGTAGACCAAGATGGTTCAGCAGGCCTTTCAAAGCTCAGTTTTGTATGAAGCAATGCATCAGAGCTCAAGTGTCAGCACATGCCCTGAGGCTATTGCAAGCTATAGATGAAGGGAGCTGTTGTGTCTCTGCCTTGTGAGAGCTCTTACAGCAGCAATATTGCACCAGCCTCTGCTCCTTTGCCTGTAGTTCTGTCAAATACAGCTTCCATTTGGCAAAACTTAAGGCAGCAACCTCAGAACTTTCAACCAAGCCTGGAGAGAGCATAAAGCTTGGGGTCTGCCTCTGTCTTTTGTATCAGACGTTCAGTTGCTGACAGCCTTTGCTATTCCTCTAACACACCAAACCCCTATACATGTGTACTGTAAGTTTCATGGCAGTTACAGCTCATAGTTTGAGAAAAGTTAGCTGTATCAAGCGGGGGGGAGATACTGAGAAAGCAAGGTTTGCTGTTGTAAATTGAGGTCAAGTTGTTTGGTTTTTAAAAAATTTGGCTGTTGAGATGAAACTGAGCAAGACAGACTCAGTGGGGCAAAGTACAGTAATAACAGAACATGAGTCATTGCTTAGTATTAAAAAAAAAACCTCCTGAAATGAATAACTAGTATAGAGTAATATAGTATACAACTCTTTGATACTCTGTGGCTAAAATAAAATAAATGTTACTTGGAGGAGAGTTGTAGAGGAACGAGTTAAACAATGTTTTTCAAAGCTTCTTTCAGTATTGTGATCAAATGATGAGGTGGGAATCTGTGTCACTGGAGAACATGTGTATACCTGAAAAACAGATCTAGAGAAACATTATAGCCTGTTGTACCAGAGGCAGGGTGTTGGTTTGCAAGGAGAAGGATAAAATCAAAGGGATTGGTTTTTCACATTGAAATAGGAGGATAATCTTTGCTGAAATTGACTAAAGGTAAATATTAGCTTTACTGCCTTCTCATTAAAACAAATAGTCTTGGTTTCTGAGTAAAGCTAAATATTAGTATTGCTGCCTGTTCATTTAAACAAATATTGTCTTGGTTGAAGCCAAGTACTCTATTTCAGTTTCTGTCTCTACGTAGCTAAGAGTTGTCTTGAGTGAGGATTCCACATCCGTGGAACATCCTTGTGTGAGGATGCAGAGATGTAGGAACACTGAATTTGGCCACAAACTTAAATGTGAGAAACTTCTTTTAAACTTTGGAGGGTATTTATGTTGTTTTGGGGTGTTTTTTATTGGATTATTTTGTTTTAAATAATGAGGGTGTCAAGCACTGGAAGAAACTGCCTGTAGAAGTTGAGTGTCTGTCCCTAGAGGTACCCAAACCAAACTGGACATGGCTCTAAGCAACCTGCACTAGTCCACCCTGCCTTCAGCAGAGATCTGGAACAGCACAGAAGTACCTTTCAATGTAAGGTTATATGACATTTTGACCACTCCACAGGATTGGAAGTGGAACACCTGCAGTTTGTGACAAGATGGCATAAGGGGCTTGTTGAAAATAATTTGCAGCAAATGAATAGTGGCTCTGGAATGAAACTTAAGCTTTCCTAAAATATAATCCAGGTATTTTCCCTTTACAGGCTATAAATGAGAAGTGCTGCTATTGATTGTCATCCAAAACTCTTGAGAAAAAGGTATTTTACTCAGTATAAAGTAATATAACAAATTCTGAAATGGGAGACCAGAACATTTTCTGAAAACAGAGTTCCTATTTATACAGAGCTGCCTGATTTTTGATTGCCTTGATTCCCTTCTGGAAAGAGGAGGGCTACTAGATAGACTAATTCAACTTCTGCATTAATAGCTATCTACAAATACATGGTTCAATGCTTTACTCTTTCATATGGTTTTATACTCTACACCAGTATGTGCAGATTTACAGGGCTTTTGTCTTTTTTGTCCCGATAGTCCAGGACTTTGGTTGTTCTCTGTTCCTGCCTGGGGGAGCCCATCTGCATTCCATTGCCTTTCAGAATAATGCAGCTAGTGATGGCATTTGAACATAAGTTATCTAGAAGACATTCACGATAAAAAATATTGCTGATACAGGATTAGTTCACGAGTGCCTTGGTGTATTAACTTCCTTTTTTTTCTTTCCACCTTTGCGCAGCTTTGCTCAGTGTTTGTGACTGCCAGTGAAGTCTGTTCTTTAGTTGTGTACTGGAGAGGGAAGTTCTGGTAGCCTGGCTCAGCTAGCAGGCTTTCAATTCGAGGACCAGTGCAGGCAGTCTGATTCCTTGTGTTTGAACATGATCTATGCAGGATGTGGATCGAAAAACATTGAGAACAACAAGTGAATCGTAAGGTACTGTATCCTGTGATGTGTACCTGCTGTGAACATAGATAAAATACTGAAAGTATTCCAGGAAAAGGAAAATGCTGAAGTTTCATGTTAATGGTACTGAGATATGAAACAGTTCTGTACATAATAACCAAACAGGGTTTGGGAAGATGACTTCCTCCAGGCAACATTTCTCATGACATTTTCTGATCCTGTGGTTAGGGGACTATTTGCTACTACTGCCTGGACTGACAGTCCAGGAGAACAGAATATCCCATTACTAGCAGCACGCAGATTGTTTAATCTTTTAATTGTTTTGGGCTTTCTAAATTAAGACTGGTGACTGCTGGTACAGGCAGAAACTGTATTTCTTTATTTCTTAACGTTTTAAAGAACTCAAGCCTCCTCTTTAAGTACCTACAGCTAATCCAGTCTGAATTGAGAACTCTTATAAAAATCTTTTCCCTGTGACTTCATCTTCTACCACTAAATTTTGGTCTTTTTTTTTTTCCCTCTGATTATCTCTTTCAGATCCTTTTGTCTGTTGAGCTTTCTGCACAAGGGAGTCGGTTTCTTAGAAAATAGATAGCTATGCAGAAGGGCAATGAAAAATGGAGTACTTGAACCTGCTGATGGCCTATGTGAGAAACACATCAAAAGTTCCACTGTGATCCCTATGAATAAAAGGTTGAAAAAAGGTTTTTCAGTGCAGTTGTGATACTGGTGTTTATCCTAGTGGTGCTTCCTGTTGCTCACACCTTGTCTTTGAGGAGTACCAAGGCTGGGTTTCTTTGCACCTACCTGTGCTTTCATTCAGTCTGGGAGGCAGGAAGTACTTTTTCTCTTGGCAATTCCTAGCAACCTTATCCCAACTTCTCCAGACTTCTGGGTCTGCAGGAAAGTCCTGATTAAGTGACTGTTCTTACAAGCTTGTCAACTCAGTTTCTCCTACACTGTCACTGCACAGTCAGGCTTATTTTGGAGAGCATGGCTTCCTTGGAGCACTGGGTGGATGATGGCACAAGAGCAAGGTGGCAATGTGGTCCATGTCCAGCTTCCTCTTTCACAGGTGTATGCTCTCTTGCTCTAAATCTCTTCTTGCTACTGCTCTGGTTGCATTTTAGCCAAGTGAGGAAAATAAAAAAGATTTTCTTTCTCTTTTAATGTTTTTGTCACCTCCTGCCTCTTTCGTATGAGTCCACTGATTGTTTTTTCAGAACCTCAGCTAAGGAATTCCTTTGGGTCATATGCACGTGATGCAGTTAAGTCCAAATCTTTCAGTTAAGCAAAACTATAGAAAGTGAGGTGAAAGAGTAGAATTCTCTCCAGTTTCCTGTTCCTATTACTGGAAAGTCCTTATGGCTTGTTCCTTTTGAGGGTGTTCACAGGCTTTACAACCTAAATCCACAATGAAGCTTTTGTAAAGCCTGCCAAACAAATTGATCTGAACTGGCTTATCTTATGTCACCTGTGCTTTTCACTTGTGTTAAGAAACTGAACTTCCTCATATGCAACTTGAATGTTGTAACAATTTTAATTTAGTCACAAAAACACACAAATCAGTATACCCAAGGCAGTTGTCCTCCGTCAGGAGTATTTCTTGTTCAAGTCTCATTTTTTTCTTTTTTCTACGGGAAACGTGAATTTTTTGTTGTAACTCAGTGTCATTTGACAGTAAGCAAATTCAGTGTAAAAACACATCCATTGACTGATATGGTTGCAGTTAGTTCAGTGATAAGTGCCATTCAAGGGCATTAGATACTGTGTATCCTGAGACAACTCCATTTTGATGAATAATGATACATTTGCATTGTGCATTCAAAGTTGTTTGTGATATTGTCAGCTACTTCATTAAAATGCTCAGCTAAGCACACGGGTGCAACAGGTAAGTCAGCTGCAAAGATATGCTTGCCTTGGATGTGGAATGCCATAGATCTTGGCCCTTTGCAAGGACTACTCAAGTAGATAAACCAGCTTGTGCTGCATTTGCCAGGTCTGAACACCTTTGAAATAACAGGAAAAAATATGCTTGTTCTAGAAAAATCTGGCTAACCACCAAATGTAGCAAGACATAGTCAAATTTTAGGAAATGTTTCTGCAGAGCTTTGCTTCAGCTGTCGTTTGACCAATTTACTGCTGCTTGGAAATTCTTTTCAAAGGATAATTCCTACAGCCTGTGTGGTGAATTCTAATGCAGAAGGAAAAAACTATACCATGTTGAGTGTCTAGTTGAGTACTTTTGCTGTAATGAGAAGATGCCTTGTTTCTGCTGCATATCTGATACCTGCACAGCTATTAAAGAGGTGCCTCTTGGCTCTTGATTATGCCTCAGGTAAATGGTGACTGTGCCTGTGTATTCAGAGACAGTCTGAGGTAGCATGTCACTATACTGCAAAGGAAGCCTTGAACCACCCAACTCCCAATTTAAAAAACAGTAGATAATTATTTTATTTGTATCCTAGGATATGTGAACCTGTGCCAGAATTACCTTGAAGACATTTACCACTTTATGAGTTGAAATAAGCGTTTCCCAAGGCATATAAATTGGTATATATGTCTTGCAGAAAATAAAACCCAAAGTCAAGAAGGAAATACTTCTGACTCCTCCTATACATACATTTTTCCCCTCCTTTTTTTCCTGAACTTTGTTTCTAGTTTGATATGCTGCAGTCCCTTCTGACTGTTACTCTCAGTCTTACTGTAAACTTCTGCTGGTGCTATTCTTGAACTGGGTAGCAATATCTGACTGTTTAGGTAACTATCTGTCAAATTAGAGGCATGCTGTCAGGAGTGTGGTTATTTTATTTTTTTCCCCTAACATTTGCTTGGTCCATGAAGAATCTCTTTAGATGCATTAGCAGTGGGTGGCTTCATCAGTGATACTGGTGATGACCCATAGCTTCCTCTTAATTGAGATTTCTCTGTTGAAAGGATAAGAAACAGATACTATATCTTTGGCTACTGGTTGTTGTCCTTTCGTTTTTTTAGCACTGATATCCTCTCTAAGGGCATAAACATTACTGTGGAGCAGGTTTGGTTTTGAAAGCTGAAATTTCTGGCTATACTGCCTGGATTTCATACAACTAAATAATTGTGGTTTTGATGTCAGTGTAATTCTTTCCATGATTACACAGTATAGTCTGTCAATGTATTCCTGCCAAAATTTGGTGTGCCATTTGCCTCTGAAGTTAAATACTATTAAAATACACAAGATAAACAGCACAAAAGGGATACAGAACTCTTCAAGCCTGCATGCAAAATACTGTACTCTTCTATCTTTTAGGTGTCTCTTTGAGGTCTCTCTGCTCCATGAGGATGTTTAAAATGATACAGCTAAGAAGCTTTGTGGTGCTGATTTGACTGTTGCTGGTCAAGCATTATTGTGCTGAAGCCCAAGCCTGGTCTGTGTGAGCAGACCTTTAAACCCTGTTTGCTAAAAATTGGTTTTGTTCCCCTCAGTGTTTGCAATGATACTGGAAGCTGTTCCAGAATCTCACTGGTCTTTGAAATGCAGTGGGGATTCTGAGGTTGTAGATCTGCAGGCTCAGTAAAATATGTAATTTTGTTTTTGAAGAAAATCAAGTTGGAGAATTCTTCTGATATGTGAAGGCAGGGAAGTTACAAAGACTAAGACTTAAACTTTGCTTTATCCCCTTGCTAGTTCATTTTAAGAAAACAGTCATACTTGTAGCTGATCAGAGACTGAAAAGTTCTAACTGTGTGATTTTGCTTCGTGTGTTTAATTTCTTGTGGTTACCTGATATACATTTAATGTTTCTATGTTCCTATTGCAGCACTTTATAGTTGAATATATAGTGTACCTGTTTAAGTCCTTTTTTTGCATTTTAAAGGGAGAAGATTTTTTACTCATTTGAGAGATTTTCATTATTCAAGAATAAGAATATTAAGACTGACTGTGTCTCCAAAATTACACTTGCTGTGTTTTCATTGGTATTATCCTTGTGTTTTCACACTCTACTAGGTGTGCTGGATCACTGTTTAGTCATGTTATAAAAGCCATCTTAGTAGAAATGCATTATTATGCTGCAATTTTTGATTTGTGAAGTCTTGCTAGAATTTCAAATAATTTCATTGCCTGTAGCTTTACTTGTTTAAACATTAGGAGAGATCAGATATTTCTAGATATTGGAGAGTAACTCATGGGAAATACTGGCTGCTAATTCCTTTTAGAGTGCAATTCAGCTTTGTCACACACAAACCCTTAGTTTTCATCATATTCAAGGATCTCACATCTGCTGTTGTCTTGATCAGTTAAGGACAAGTACAACACCGACTTGGCAAATTGAAAGCAAATTCAAGACTACAGAAATTCTCCAATGATGCCATGGTTTTTATTTTGATAAATTGAGAGAACTGTAAAATGATGGTTTAAGTTATTTTTAGAAGATATGAAGGTATGTAAAGCAGGAAATAAGAGTGTGTACATGCATTTGAAATGCATTAACTGATGGGGAAGCTGTGTAAGAAGCACTTGCAGTGGTGGACATACAGCTTACTCTTGACACTGGTTATGTAGGCTGAGTTTCTCAGAATTACTTGGTGTGATTTCAAAATGTGACAGTGAACTTCCACTAATTAGTCGAATCCAATTCATTTCCTATATACAAGCAGGTGTTGCTGGTGATGGATTCTGTCCTCTCAGCTGGGAACCTTCTTGCTTAACTGTTTCAACACCTGAGCAGTTGTCTAGGCAGCTGTTTCAGTGAGTGAGAGCCCAGGCTTGTTTTAGCAAATGCAGGTGTCTACTTAGGCTTATAGCCAATACAATTCACAGCACCTGGCTTCCCTGTCTGCTCTGCTGAGTGTGAAAGGTGTTTAGGGTGGCTACCTGATGGGACTTGACTTTTATTGTCCTGAGTAGCACCTCATCTTGCGATGAGGAAACTTTTATCCAAAGAACTTTACAGGATAAACAAAGGTGATAGAATTTGGTTACAGGAATCGTTTCTTCTAGTAAAAAAAACATATAGTACAGTAAATGTGTTTATATGAAATTAAAGATATGGCATCTGAGTACTTTTACATTACTGTAAGGTTGCTGCTTTGGAGTTGATCAGAAGAGAAACAATGCTCCCAAATCCTTGCTTTCCTCTTGAACATCATCTGCACAGCTTCTCTGTTTCTGATCCTCTTTCTGTTTTGAGGGACTGACTAGTGTGTTTCATTTTTCAACTTGCCTCAGTAATGTCTTATGTTGGTTTCACATTTGTAGTGTGGCTTTGATGTTAAACCAGGTTTCCAGGCAGAAATGGAGTGGTTTTGCTTCCAAAAGTTTTGGAGAGTTGGTTATTGGTTCATGGAGACTGTGGTACTGTGGTGTATAAGTGACTGTCCATCTTCCCCTTGTAAAACCTCCCTGTGCTTACTTACAGATGTTGGCAGCTGCTGTATTGTCTCTGTGTGTTGAAGGGCAGGATAGGGCCAGTTCATAGCCCTCGATGGTAAGGAAATTGAAAGAGTGGTCAAAAACCAATTAAGGGCAATTCTTTTGGGGAAAGTAAAAGCCCACATTCCTAGTGAGGATTTGTTATCCATTCAATAAATTGTGTGACATGTCCACAGTTTCATCCAGATCAGTTCTTGATGTTTCAGTGCTAGTGGGTTTGAAGATTTTTTTTTTTTTTAAATTACTTTCACTAAGAAAATTTTGAACTTATGAGAGTGGCATTTGCCAGTTATTTAACTTTGTGTGTGTTCAGCTTTCCCTCTTACATGTTTGGGACTGAGGGAAGGACGAAGAAGGGGTGAGTTTATAAATCTACAGAATTTGTTAGATGTATTGCCTTTAAGTGTTTCTAGTTCTACGTGTTCTTCTGATTGTCTCAATAAAGAGCATTTGTTTGAAAAACTACTTTGTGTCTATGTTTACAGCTGGACGATATTACCTTTGTCATTATGGTTGTGGAGGAAACATAGCTCATAGTTTGTATGAGAGTGCATGGTGGGAATCAGACTGTTAGAATTAATTAGTTTTTTTTTTAATTACATTATTGCAACTAAGAGACATTACTGTTGTTGCATACTGAGGCAGTCAAGGGTGTTAGCCTTCTAAGTGAATCTGTAATGTTTTTAGTAGTTTACACTTAATAGCAAAACAGAATGAAATTCAGAGGGCTGGCTGTGCCTGAAGCATCAAAACACGCTGTGAAGAAGTTCTTTTGGGTTGTGGTCGCATTCTGCTTTTTGTTTAAAAGACGATGCTATTTTATTGCAGGACCTTGAGTAGTACATCCCCAGTGTGTTTGAAATACTGCATTTTTCCTGCTTGTTTGGGTCAGATGTGGGTCTTTTGTCAGTTTAAGGGGGTGCTTTTAATTTTGTGCATGCACAGGGCTAATCATTGCTTATTTGGTTATGAATTTCTCTCTTGAAGAATCTCAAATGGTGCCTTTTGAAACATAAATCTGTTAATGCCATTTTGTGTTTAAGCAAAAGGTGGCCAAGTTATAAAGATCTATAGCTATGAAATGTGCATTAGCAGGCAGTTTCTTTGGAATACCTTTAATTCTTGAAGAATGTATGCCAAAACAGAACATCACACATTCTTATTTCTCTGTTTCTTGTGCTCTACCGAGTTTCTGTCTTGCAGTATTTATCAAACTGTCTTTCAAGGTGTAGTCCTGTTTGGCAATGATTATTTCCCAGAAGAATTTGCAGACTGTGGATTTTACTATTTGGAGATCATGTATTAAAACACAGTTGACTCTTGTGTTTCACCCAGTGAAAGCAGAAACCTTGCTCCTGTGGATAGTGGTGCAATAAGCCTGCCTCTACTGAAGGCCGTTTTTACAGCTGGGTGTTAAAGTCATGAAAACCAGACTGCTGACACAGCCTTAATCACAGGGCCACAAGTAGCACTTCTTTGTTTTTGTGTGACAGTTTCATTGGTACTGTTAATAGCTGGTTCCTTACAGGTGTTCGTGTATAATAATTCTTATAAGACAACGCTTGGTAAGTTTTCAAATGAACCACGTTAATTCCAGGATTAATTTTTGAAGAGAGACCTTTTGACTCTTTTTCCTTTTGAGGTTTTTGGTCATAAAAATCCATATGTTGAAAATGTTCATTACTTTTAATTTTTCAAGTGCACCCCTGTGTTTGAGTGAAAAGCAGGAAGAAACTGGCTTGTCTGTCACAGTGGGCAGCCCCACTTCAGCTGGTGTTGTCAGTCTTGGAAAAAACATGGATCTCTGTTTTACTGCCCTGCCCTTACTGCTGGGCAGCGTAGGAGGTGTAGCTACAGCATTGCTCTCTTTGAGGAAATACCAGGTATAGCAAAACTGTGAAGAAAAGCTGGTATGCTTCTGTTTATGACCCCAGCAAGGGAAACTGTGTATAGTAGTGAAGTATTTCCCCTGTTCTTGCTGGGTGTACAAAGGGATGCCCCGTGCTTTTAGCACGGCAGATGATGGAAGACAGAGTTCCCCTTGCAGGGCTTTCTGTTGCTCCCCTTTGGGTCTGGTGTGCGTGGTGGCGATGGGAGGACAAAGGAGTGACTGTACAGAACACGGCTCTGGAACAGCTTAGGTGGCAATAGTCACTCTTCAGACAGCTTGGAGAAACGCCCTCCACGGCGTGGGCTGTAAAAGCTGTTGTTCCCTCGTACGGCTATCACTGAGTCTCATTTCAGAGCAGCCGAGGGCTGGCACGCTGCCTCTACCAGGTAGTGCTGGTGAGTGCAATAATACACCAGGACATAATATCTTGACCTCTGGAGAAGCTGAACTGAGAGTAATTTGTTTCAGAAGTGAGCAATTTTCTGTGTGTGGCTCCTGGCATCTATAAAGCAAACAAGTCAGTGTTCAAATCCAGTTATAACCTCTTTGGGACTGCTGTTGAAACATGGCTAGCAGACGTGGTGTGGTACTGATACACTTTTTTCTTCCTGGCCTCTATCTGAGCTTGTTGACATTTGGAAAATGCATATGAAGTTTATGTGCAATTGGTAATGCTTTGATTTGGATTTCAAAATTATATCAGATACTGTAATATGCTTGTGTCTATAGCTGCACCTTTAAACAGTTTAGGTAGTGAAGAACTTGATCTGGATTTAGGTGGAAGTTCTTACTTGGTTTTTAGGAGATTTTGGAGGAGGAATGGCTTAATTAGCAGGGAGACCAGCCTTGCAGAGCTAACACTCCTAACATTGCTATCTTGTTAATACATTTAGTCACGCTTAGTTTGTTACGTGTGAGATAAAAGGCTGACTAATCTAGTGGAAATATTGGCGAGGTGGGGGGGATGGCACTAGAGATGGCTTCTCTTTCTCCTACCTCTAGTTTTGGTTGTTTCAATGGCCTGTCACCATTGCTGCTGTCCAGCCCAACCAAATGAAATCCTCAACTCACAAGAGGTGGTTTTGCATCATCTATGTCTAGGGCAGGAAATGCAAGGTTATAGGTGTTCAGCGTTGAAGGTTGCTAGTAAAATAAGAGCTAGGAAAAGATTAGGACTCCTAAAATTGGCTCCAGCTGAAAACCTTTCAGGGTTTTTTGTTTGGTCTTCAGCTGTAGGTGACCTTGGTTGGCCACACAGGTGTACTAGTGCTGGCAAAATGGCAGGAATGTACAGCTGGCAGTGGGAATGGAGGATAAAGGTAGGATGGTCCCTTTAAGTGGAAGCATGTAAGAGTGAAACTGTGTGTGTTCATGAACAAAAAAGTATTTTTCAAGAAAGCTTGTTTGCAGGTTTAAATAAGTGAATTGCCTTCTCTAGGTGTTTGCAGTATGCTGTGGATAAACTTGATACTCCTTAAGTAATGGTTAAAGGTGAAACATGACAAGCTACCTTAAGGTAAATATTGCTGCTCTGCATCAGCAGTTCTGGATTGGTGTCATTAAATTCTGACATGATTCTCAGTACCTCAGCTGTACCTGGCTGTTTTTAGGATTCCACTTTTAAGCTGTTTCCTGTGAATTCCTCATGACCAAGTATTATCACTGATGGCTGAGCTTTGTAGTGAGTATTTTAGGAAGTAATGAGGCTTTATATAGGCAGAAGCTGCTTTGTGTCACTTCCTTGACCACTTTCAAGAAGAGCAGCTGTTTTGGACAGCTGTGAGAGGATCTTGTTGGGTGTCCAGACCTCCTGAGCGTGGAGTTTCAAGTGGAGTTAAGTCAGGTCCATGC